ATACCAAGATTAATTTTTTTGTCCAAATAATTTGTATTTTATAATTGTTTCCACATTATTACCTTATGGCCCATACGGTAAACTGCCTGATACTTGTACCTTGTGAGAAATCTAAAATTAACTATATCATGACAGATTAACATACATTAGATTCAAATAATCTAATTCTCCAAAGAGGCACAATCCTATGTAACTAGATTAGGTATGACCAGGCAAGTAATAATCTAACACATACATCTGCAGAGAAAAATTAGTCACTCTTTATAAATCAAATGGAATATAAAGCTAGATATTTAACTTATATGTGCAATACAATAATCTCTCACCTGATGCTTGACAATCTTCATACCTTCGTGAAACTCTTCTTTCATCTCCTAAAAAAAAGGCTAATTATGAACTGATATGCTGATTATAGTGATTAGTAACATATGTTTTAATCTACAAGATCTCACTTTGCCCACCTTAATTGAAATAAATAAAATTGTTGTTATTCTATTCTCATAAATTAGACAGTTTCCTACAATGTAAATAAGAACTGCTGTGAGCATTCTTGGATTTACTGACAACTAGAAAGAGTTTTACTTTTTATACAAAAACCTAGTAGTTATTTCTTCAGAGACCCTCTCCCTACTTTGAAGATGCTCAGCAAATGACTGTTGAAAGAATGAACCTTTGGGAAAACCAAAGTTAGATAAATTAATGCATTTGAACACCAGAATTTTTCAAAGTAAAAAGTATACCTGGAACATCTTGTGCACTAGATAGGAGTGAAATATAAAACAGTTGATGTGAAAAAATAACTTGATAAATTTACTTTACATTACATACATTCTAGAAGAGCACACCTGAATTTGTCTCTTTTCTGAATCCCAATCTTATGATCTGTGATGCTAAAAACCGAAATAAATTTTTCCAAAATGGAAAGGATGAATTTTCAAAGAGGAATTCCTATGTTAGGAAAACAAAATGTTTTATTGCATTCAGTTATATAGGTAGGATTTAAAACAGAGACTATGGGAAATGTATTAAGCAAGGTTCATTTGATATAAAATATGTGACAGAAAAATCATGTAAAGTAACTAGAGATGAATCAGTGCATGGAAAAACATTATGTTAACCAATTCATGGTGGCATTAGCACAGCATATTTAATGATGCAAAGGCTGTTAAATACATGTTATGTACTTATCAGGTGAAAAATGCCAGTGTCCTACCATATGCCGCAGCCCAGACAACAGGGACAATTGTTTTATTAACATTAGAGTTCTCAAGCTGAATCTCAGGGAGAGAAGTTCCTTCCTCTTCCCCTACAATGACTTCCATGTAAACTTCATCTGCTATTTCAGCACAACCTAAGTTTTAGAAATAATTGCTCGTTTATTACCCCAAATAGTTAATAAATGGGTAAAACTATTTAAGTATTTAACTCCTAAGATTTCAGATTGGTTAATTAAGAAATGTGGAAGTTTAAATTTATATTGGGGGCTGGGGAGATGGCTCAGTAGAATAAGTGCTTCCCTGGCAAGCGCAAGGGCCTGAGTTAAAAAAAAATTATAAGTTTATATTGGGCACTTTTGGAATCTAGTGCTACTAGATGATCATTTATTAAAATTCTTCTTTTTCTTTTATCAAATTTTTTTTATTTTATTTTATTTTATTGAGAAACAAGTAGCAATAAGACAGTTTCAAAACTGATTAATAAGACAGTCTTAATAATTAATACATTGTACATTGTTATCTTCTTAGTGGTTATCCATAGTACAAGATGCAGACAGGATAAAATTCTTATTCTCATCTTAAAACCAAGTCCTATGAAAATAGCTTTTCAATTATATAAAACATATACCCTTAAAATATACTAGTTAATTTTACAACCCATCAGGCATTGTAATTCTATAAAAGGGGCTGTCTTCCATAAATTTGCCTTACATTTTTTTGAAACCCATAGCAACAACACTAGAGTGTTGTTACACCACATGCTATATGCAGTACTATGTATATACTTAAAAATAATTAAAATAATTGATTTTTTAAAAATAAAAATTAGTTATATATACATATATAAATATAAGATGTTGTTTAACAATCTATGGACACGCTTTAAGGAGTTGGATTTTAAGGGACTGCTGAGAAATAGGATTATATGAGGCTCAATTAAAAAAACAGCAGTATTATGGTACCGAAAAGTAAGCATAGAGAACTACTTTATATGAAAGAAGCTGTGTATATTTAATATGTCAAATAAAAATTTGACTTGAATTTACGCTTTTCCTTTGATTCACATATTGGGATTTTTTTGTTTAAAGTAGAGAAAATGGAAATAAGAGTAAAAAAAATGTCCTCCCAAGTTTTCTTTCTCCAAAAGGTACTGGTCTGCATTTTCAACATCCCGCTGGCAATCTTATTTTCAGCTAACCTAAACCTGTCCTCCTCCTCCTAGTATGCCAGTCATCTGACTAGGTCGTTTTTTTAAAAAATAAAGGACTTTGAGACCATAAACAAAAAAAAAAGTGTTTCATGGAATGATTTTCCAAGGTCCTCTCTATTCAAACAGTTTGATTCTTTCTGCTGTAATATACTACTCATCTTTGAGGGTAGAATTCAACTCCGTGTGGTTTCTAGAGAAGAAAATGTAAAGAATAGTTATCAGAATGCAGCATAGGTATAAAGCCCAATACTGTGAGGGTAATGGTATAAAATGAGAGTTCTTGTTCCTCTATGCAAAACAAAACAGATTTTTTCAGCATGACAAAGACAGCAATAGTCTTCGAGAAGCAATGCATAGTGAGGTAAGGAGAAAGTAGGCAGAGTAAAATGTCTTTATAAAGAAACATGCATCATGGTAGGAAAGAAAACCTAAAGAGCTTATTTACCCTGTAGTGTTCAGCCCCAAGAAACCCTAAAGACCAACTATTTGGAAGCCATCAACAACATAATCAAGACCCTGAGAGAATGATGTGGATGAATACTTACGCAGCTAACCTCTCAGTGACAGAAGAATAACCAGTCAGCCCTTTTACTGCTGAATCCAGAGGGGCCAACAGTGCTCACTGCCATGTGGAGAGAACACTGGCAGTGGAGTTAGACATATATAAGTTCAAATCCTACCTTCCTCAGATAATATTGGAATAATCTTGGGCAAATTATATTCCCATTTCTTTTCTTCTATGAAACAGGTATACTACCATCTATCCTGGGGATGAATTGTGAGGATTAAATGAGATAATACATATGAAACATATCCAATAACATATACAACAATACAATTCTAACTGTATTTGTTAGATCCATTAAGTTAAAAACTATGTACTACTCCTCTCTGTATTCCTAGTACATTATCTCAGATATAGTATTTCATGTTTGCTGATTTAAACAACACATGAACAGTCAATAGGACCATTCTCTTTTAAATATTTGCAACGAAGGATCAGATTCATTTTATTGCAGTGTGTTTTTATACAGTGCTGTTATCTCTGAGACTGCTTGAGTTTTCTAACTGCATGATCGAGGCACATAGGTCCCCCTACAGTGCCCTATTCTTCTTACTGATATCATCTTCTTCTTGAGAAGAATCTTTAACTGCCATGTAAACCATCTTCTCCCTCTGCATTCGGTTCTGGTCAAGCACTCCAGCTACAGTATGTCCACTTGGGTACTCACTCTCTGTGACAATTTCAGTTCCACCTTGAATATTAAAACAAATATCAAAATAAAGAAATATCACAGAATAACTCTTTAAATTAACAAGAATATAAAAGTATTTTCCTTCAGAAAAATGTTTTCTTAAAAAATTCTAAAATACATTTCCAGGTGTCAAGATAATTTTCACATAAATTGTACTTTAACTGTTTTAGTTATCAGAGAAGTAACAATTCTAGCACTTACATCACACTTATATGCCACACACTATGTGGGTCAGGTCTTTTACATATGTTTATACTCAGATTTTTCATTTTTGGGGGGTTTCTAATAATTTTATTGAGAAACAAATAGCAATGAGACAGTTCCAAAACTGATTAATAGGTCAGTTTCAATAATTAATACATTGCATCTTGTTGTCTTCATAGTGTTTATTCATATACACATATTTTTCATAGTAGCTCTATTTGGTAGTTATCAACATTATGGAATTCTATGGATAAAAAAGAAAAGGTATGTTATATAACTGATTGAAGGTTGCTCAGTGAAATGGCAGAACAAGGATTACAACCCAGACAGCCTGCCTCTAGAATCCATGCCATTAAACATTCATTATAATTTCATGCTCTAAACAAATTCCTTATTCATTTTAATACTTTGAAGTACAACATGCACTCATGTTTGAAAGAATCTAAAGCATTTCTGTTTCTACTCATAAATTTTTCAAAGTACGCCATTCAAGAAAACCTATAAAAGTCTATCCTTTGATGACAACTTTAGAATAATCTCCAGTCAAGATAAGAATTCTAATTCCTATCACAGGAATAAAATGTCTTTGTACCTATTTCAACATCATCTTCAGCTTCTGCTTTAAATATGTACACTTTTATTACTTCTGATCCAAAACCATCTTCTTTAACATCTTCTTGTGAGCCATCACTACTGATTTTTAAAGGTGTATTCCCCATATGCTCTAATTTCTCTCCAACATCATCCACTGTAAAATATAAAGAGGAAACTATTTGAGCCAAAATGTACTAAGGTAAAATAATGTGTTAATCACCTACCCATTATATTTATTTGATGACTCATTATGCAGCCAGTAAAAAGTTAAATGATTCACGGATAAATGGTACACAATATCAAGATATACTACATGATCACAATTACAAATATTAAAACTATAGATTTCAATTTGTATATAGGAAATAATTATATAGTTTTAATTAATAGTTTGAGAAAAGATCACCATTCCATGAATTCCAAAATTTTAAGCCAACTTAACCACTTTCAATATTTTAAAGTTACGCATGGTAACACATGTCTGTAATTCTGGCACTTAGTGGCTAAAGAGAATCACCACGAGTTTGAGACAAGCCTGTACTGCATAGTGAGTTCAAGGACAGCCTGAACTACACAGAAAGGCCCTGTGTCAAAAAAAAAACCCCAAAAAAACAAAACAAAAAAACAAATGAAAAACACAAAGATTTTAATTTAAATCCTGAGCAAAATTTGTATAACAAAAGCATTAAAAAGGTAAAATGCACATTATTCACAGAATAGGCCAAGCTCACATGACTCCCTAACGAAATAGTTAATTCTAAAACCAATTAACATGAGATTTGGAATTTTAAAAGAGATTACAGAACATCTAAATGACTTTTATAAGAAGAAGCTTTCCACAAAGCACTATAAAAATAAAACCTTAATACTATAATTTCTGCTAAGTAAAAATGGCAGATAACCTCAAAACACATATTTTATATACACCTAAATTTAGCAATGTATGTTTTATTTCAAAATCCTATACAAGGGCAATTACTTAAATGGATAACTCTATATTTTTCCTTATGAAAAATCTGATGCTTGCCAGAGTTGGTGGCACATGCCTGTATCTGGGTTACAAGGTGAGCTCAACGCCAGCCTGTGCTGCATAGGTAGACCATGTCTCAAAAGATAAGACAAAATAACAACCACCACCACCACAACAACAAACCCCCTAATGCTTCAGTGTATATGGAAAAAAATCATATAAAAGGTAAAGCAGAAATATCTTGAACTACCACTTAAATTTTATGTATACTCACAAATTTTTATTCTTTTCTATATAGTCCTTTAAGGATACTAGTCTTCTTATGCAATTATACATAAATCATGCAACAAATACATTATATTAATAAAATTTGTCCTGTGTCCAAAAGTTAATATTTAAGTAATATATTCTCCCTAAATATTGTATGTCTTTCTTTTTAATTTCAATACTGTTTTTATCAAAATTTAAAAAATAATCTAAATAAAAAGTCTACTTCTCCCACATATCCATAAGAAACATAAAATTCTAAAGCCCTTGAATGAATCTAACATGCTAGAATAATGAAAAGCAGAATAAAGTGACACTGAAAACTTGTAAACTTGGCTTTCTTTTAGTAAGAACGAAATCTGTCGAAGTCCACATTTTCCCTTACTTCAGTTTCAAGTATGACATACATGACTTTAAAATACTACTTTGGACTTTCAAAATGTAAAATTGTTTTCAGAAAATATTTTTACATTGCAAAGCTACTTTAACTCTTTAATTAAAAAGTAATGATTTCATATTATTTAAGTGCATGAATACTCCAGCTATGAAACATCTAAAGGATAGAAAATAGACTTTTCATCCTATCATAGCCTCCACTAATGTATTTTTGGCAATTTTAGTGCAACACTGGAACAAAATGAAATGAAAAACATAATGAAATATATATTATTGGATTTAATGTTAATATAGCTTCTCTTACAAACTATGGTGAATAAAGCAAAATAAAAAAATAAGAGGCAAGTAGGAAAAAACTAGCTTTCTCATTTCTTGGAAATAAAGTCTTAAGGTGTATAAAAAACCTTCAAAAGTATATAAAATATTAATTTCTTATCTCAGAGTAGCAGTAAGTTAATAAAAAGTTTCATTTCATAAATACTGCTGCATTATACATGTATGGGCCAATGTGTGGGTCAAGGTGAATTAAAACTGTAATTTAAAAAGTCAAATCCCATGGAATAAAATATACATTTTGCTCACTTCTAAAATTATGCATCTTGATTTTAGTTTTAAATACAGTTAAAATTATTGTTGCTATTTTAATTTCATTTCTACCTCTTATTAAGGTCCTTACTTTAATGTATTCATTATTCTCTATTTAGAATTCTCAGAAACAACAATTTCAAAATGTGGCGAGTAACTAAATTTGTGTAGTTCTAATTCACAGGTGTTAAAATTATTAAGTATGTTGATGTGGAATCTGAAGAGGAAATTATTAACCTGACCAAAGATGTAGCCCATATATTTTACAGAAAATACAAAGATAACACAGATGCCATAAGTAATCAATTAACTTTAGAACTATGTAAATTCTCAATGACTCTTTTTTTTTTTTTTTGTATTTTAGGGAAGGGTCTGCAGGGTGTTCAAGGTGTCACTACTAGATCAGACTCATAGTGATTCTTCTGTTTACAGCCTCCCAAGAGCTGGGATTACAGGCACGCGCCACCATGCCCAGTCTCAACTGCTGTCTCAGCATGCCTCAGGGGTGGGGCCAGCATGGCAGGCAGGGGTATCGAACCCTGGGCCCCTGCCCTTACTTGCAGGTGGATCACTATGAGTCTGATCTAGTAGTGAGACCCTGAACACCCTGTACACCCTTCCCTAAAATACACACACAAAAAAACCTTCCACATCTTAAAAAAAACAGCATTAGACAGATATGGTTATGCCATATTAATTTTGATACTGTTTAACACAGAGATAGGAGAGCTTACTCATGTGATAACATGAATAAATTGGAAAGTTTAGTCTCAACTTGGATTAAATTCAGAGGCACCTCAGATACTGGGAGAGGACAAACTCCCTAAAGCTAAAACTCAGCTACTGATAAAATTTCTTTACAGGAATATTTGAAGATTTACAAGATTTAGAAACAAAGTTCTCTTCTGTGTCCTCAACTATAACTTAGATATTTTGAAAAGCTCTATTTTGGAAAGAACAAAAAAATAGAACCTCTTGATTTACCAATGAGTCTCTCAAAGCAATTTATTCTCTAATTAATAAAACATTTAATAGGGAACAGAAACTAAGAGATAATGAAAATACGTGAAGATTACTAAAAGAAGAAAATGGAAAGAGTGAATATCTCTTAATTTACATAATATAGCAATTATAAATGATCAAGTACATAATTAGATAATGAGTTATATAAGACAATCTTCTGTAATACAAAATAAGATGTAGGGGCTGGGAAAATAACTCAGTGGCATAAGCACCTGCCTGGCAAGTGCAAAGTTCTGAGTTCGATCCCTGGTACAAACATAAATAAATAAACAGAAATAAAAAAATAAATAAAAATAAGATTTAATGAAATTTTTAAGAAGTTATTACTTTTCTCTTACTAATGATTAAGGTGTAATTTATTCTCATCCTAAATACATCCTAAAATTACATTACAGTTGTTTTAATAATACTTGAGCAATACAATGTTCTTTTTATTTGCTATTCTCCTGTTAGACTAAATCAGAACTTCTTGTATTTAACCATATTTTAATTAATTATGATTATAAATATTCTAACAAAATATTCCACAAATGCTTTTATATAACTACCCTACAAAAGATAATGCAAGGTTTGACTATTTCAGACACACAATGTTTAAATTTCAGGCCACTTTAACACCACAGTACAATTTAATGATTATCCACTGGCAGGCATATAAAATTTATTTTAGTAACAACAACTAACTTTTACCATATTACTTTATACTACTGTACACACACTGTTTTAAAATGTCAGGTTAAATGTAAACACAGACTTGCTTTAATAATCCACGTCTATTCAAGAATGGGTAATAACATTTGCAATCACTGGCTTAAATCATTCTTTCAAAAATGTAAATATTCACCATATGAATACTGACAAAAATATTAAAACACTGGATTTTGGAATCACATTTTAAAATTATATAACTCTAGCTTGTTTTATCATTTTCAATTCACTGATTCACACAAAAGAATCACTTTATGCATACACATACACTATACCTGACAATTCCCAATAATTTTTTGCATTTTTAAAAACAAAAGAAGAAAACTCTTCCCTGCAAAAGTGAATAGTCTTTGTCAAATCTTCACTACGTGTATCATGAGTTCTTCCAAATTTATGAAGAACAGACTCACTGATCTCTCAAGTTTTATCAATAGCATATAATAAAAATTTGTTATTGACGATCTGAACCACCTATCTCTTAAAATGAGAATAAAATATTTATATTTTCTTCCTTCCAAGGATGTGCTTTTGGCTTTTGCCAAAGTCTGAAATTAACATGTTCAACAGTTTTTCACAGACTACACACACACACACACACACACACACACACACACTTAGTCCAACAGCATACAAACCCAAGGAAAGCTATAGAACATGATCTGAACTTATAATTTAGTTTTCAAGAATTTAAAAAATGTAATATTTTTAACATATTATACTGGTATTCCTATACAAAAATCAATGACAATTACTTGTATTAAAAGAAAACAGCTCTACTGTAATGTTACTTTCTATTTTGAAACATACTTACCATTACATTTTCCTTAACAGTTAATATTTTTGTTGAGCCTTCCAAATCTATATCTCTAGTCTAATACATTAATAATTTTAATTATTTCAATTCAATTCTGAAATTTCATTGAGTAAATTAAAACTTGAGTAACCAGAGTAAAGCTTCTCAACAGTGACACTCCGAAATTATTTTTCAAAAAGATTGACCTTATTACTTGTCCTGGCTATATATTCAACCTCTGATTGATTATACATCAATCTCCTGCATAACTGGCAATTTTAGCTTTCACTTACAAGAGATCATTAAGTAGTCTTCAGAAGTGCTCTTCTCATCATCATCATCATCGTCATCATCGTCCTCTTCATCATCATCATCATCTTCGGTTTTTATAGTAACTGTAGAACCAGGAAGACTCCCAGATGTTTGAATCACAGTTTCTGTATCTGAATTGGTTACAAGAACCTCCTCTGACACCATTGTGGGAGAGTCCACTCCTGAAACACAATCTTGGACGATATGCTCTAAGTGTCCACCTGGACCAGTAACAAGATCAGCCACAAAAACTTGTTCAGGCACCCTAACAGTTTCAGTAATGAGTTTGGATGTCAGGATATGATCTGCATCATCTTCCTCTAAATCTTCTTCAATGGCAACATCAGCTTCAAGTACAGCTTCAGGAACAATCACACCTTCTGTGACTACATCAGTCTCTGTAATGATATCAGGCCCGTGGACAACTTCAGCAGCAAGGCCATGGTCAAGAGTTATACCATCATCTGTGACAACATCAGAAACTAATACTGCTTCAGGAACAGAAACAACAATATGATCTCCATCGATATGTGCAGTACCAGCCATTCCAGTCACTATAATACAAACAATTATCCAAAGAGGTAAAGTTATTTTATTAATTAAAAGTGCTGTATTGAATATAGAAAATACTGTAAAATATATATATTTCTTAAACATTAAATAGTCCTTACCAAATATGTCATTCAAAAATGGCCACAATTTAAATACAACAAAAACCATTATTAACTCGGAACGGGGTGAGACAGGGGTGAAGAAATGCTAGTAAAATCTAAATTAACAACGTAAAAATAATATACTTTATTTTCAAGTAAAATATAACTGTCATGAGACATCACTACACTCCAGCATAAACAGCTAAAATTAAAAAATGGTTACAGTATAGGTTGGTGAGGATGTGGAGGAATTGGATCTATAATACCATAGGTTGTTGATGGGAATGTAAAATTTTAAACATACATTCTGTAATACAGTTTAGCAGCTACTGTATTACGAAAATAGACATTCACTTACTGTCGTAATAATAGCAAGCCATAGAATTTTTCCTCAGAAAATTTAAAATATATGTTTACACAAAAAACTGTACATAAAGATTCATAATAGATCAGAATAGTTATTAGTCATAGTAGCAAAAAATTGGAGAGAATCCAAATGTGCTTCACTACATAAATAGTTGGCTAAACCAACTCTGGCACATCCTGACTGGAATACCACTCAGCAATAAAAAGGAACAAATTACTGATAACATCTAACCATCGGAATACATCCCCAGAAAATCATTCTAACAAAAAAAGTCAAAGATTATGACATTATTTAATATATATAAGTGGAGATTTATATAACATTCCCATGATAATCAAACTACAGTGATGAAAAACTTTAGTAGTTGCCAAAGTTGGTGAGGAATATGAAAATACAACGTGATGTAACAGTTACGTATCTTGCTGTGATGGTATTTTTACATAAATATGTGTGTGAAACAAAACTGTATAGTTACTGCATATACACATAAACATGTAAAAATGGAGAAAGTTGAAGATGATATGTAGTTTTACTTAAAAGTAATCCACTAATGTTTATTTTCTAGTTTTGATATTGTTCTAAACAGTTGTATAAGATTGCTCTGATGAAGAAAGGTTAAGGGTAACTGATACGCTAGTACTTTTTCCTACTACCTGTGAGTCTATAGTTATTTCAAAAATGAAAATAGGATATATAGAAGATACTAACACATTCACATGAGTTAATACTAAATTATAAAACATGAAGTATAAACATAAAATTTCCTGAACTTTTTAAGATGTAAGCATTACTATAGTCAAATATAAGGGATATCTTTTGACATCTGATTTAAGGGTAAAATGGTACTTATTTTAGACTAAGATTTAGTATGATAATAGTAAATGTAAAACAGGAACAAGACTTACTTTTTATTTTATATTTTATTTATTTATTTTTGCAGTACCAGGTATTGAACTCAGGACCTTGTGCTTGCCAGGCAAGTGCTTATTCTACTGAACTATCTCCCCGGCCCAAGACTTACTTTTTGAGCAACATGGTACACACTGCTTCCACCTGCTTTATACATATTGTATGAGCAAAAAAATTGTAATGTGGAATTCTAAATTCTGCCACCCTGATGTGGTACAATAAATAAGTTAACAGGGTTTGTACATTTGGCTAAAATAATTTATCTGCATGAAATAATTATGTGCAAAACATTTTCTATGTAATGGTCACTTTCTATAAAGTAGCACCAAAATCTCTAATTGAAATTTATAGGTCAAAATAAATCATACATAAATCAAAATAATTTAATATATTTGTTTATCTTCAACCAAACGATTTTAAGGAACTCAGACCAAGAACTGATAAGCCTAGTACAAGGTACTAGCAGGTTACTGAGACCAAAAACCAAAATATCACTTATTAAATTGTGTCCTTTCCTTTTATCAATTCATCTATTACATTTCATTTACTTCTTAAACAAGGTTATTTATTTGTTGTATACTCATTGTAATCACTAACCATGCACCAACAACCCAGTGTGTGTATGTGTGAGAGAAACCTCATTTAATTCTCAGAACAACTATGTAAAATGACTGTTATTTATATAGGGAGAAGCTATGATTTATAAAACACACGAGCTTGCTTGTGTTTCAAATTGAAAACTGAATTCAGACGGGCTTATTTTTTCAACTTGTCAGTCTAGGGGAGAGTTTGTTTACTTTAGAGACTTTTTTTTTAGAATTAACCTTGGGGCATTACTAGGGGAAAAATTTTAGGAAATAAAACAATGTATCAAATAAAAAACTCCCTTACCTTTTAAATCATGTAGTAACCACACTAAACAGTATTAAGCATTTATTCTACTAGATTATAAATAAGAAAAATTAAAAACAGGAAATTAATGATAACCAAATAACATTAAGAGATAAGTTCTAGTTACAAGTATTTTCCATTTTAATTAAGTTATTAATTCACGTATCTAGAACACCACAAAAGGGGCAATATAAAATGTTATCTGTTACGTCTGTGTGTTGGACTGATGTCTAAAACTATTTTGCTGTTTAAATGTCAAAGTAATAGGCTTTTGAAATTTTAAAATCTTTAAAAAATTATTAAATTTAATGTCACATATTCTAAGGACAACCATTATATTGCAATACCCGAATAACTGTTAAATAATGCATAATGTTCTAAAATTTTATATTTGATCTATCCTTCCACATAAATGCAACACTGAAGACAATATGCAATATAACCATTGTTGAAATCCTATCATTTTTTAATTAAAATTCTGAATCACTGCTAATTTTTTTATTAGTTCTTTTCTCTTTGTTTTTTATTTTCTTTAACAAATACAAAATAAATTGGCCTAATGCTTGCTTGCTTTCTTGGATACAGTGTCTTGTTATGCAGTTCAGACTCAACAGTGATTCTCCCGTCTCAGCCTCCCGAGTGCTGGGATTATAGGCATGCACCACCAGGCCTGGTTTTGGGGCTGGTTTGTGGCATGGCATGTAGTACCGGGGATCGAGCCTGGATTCTTATGTTTGCCAGGCAAGTGCTTAGACCGCTGAGCTATCTCTCCAGCCTGGTCTAATGTGTTCTAAACTAATGTTTCACATTCCATATACAAGAATCTTCCCATAACTCCAACCAAGAACATTATAGAATTTATAGATCTTGATATATAATGGATTTATTGGATTACCATTACCTGTGTATGCTAAACATAATGTTTCCCAAAACTCATGAATTTAAGGGGTTTTAAATATTTAAGTTTTAATGTTAGGATAATTTTAAAGAAAATATACCCAATTTCTAGTAAATGATTAGAATTGGATTAACAGCTCGACAAACTAAACAGAGGGGACTGCATTAAAAACTAAACTTCAAAAAAATCTCTAAAATGTATAAAAGTCTTTACAAGTGCTCTTTAGGTTCAGAACCACTTGATACCTTTTATCTCATAAAATATACAAAAATAAAAACATCTACATATGAAGTTGTGCTCTTTGTATCAAACATAGAAAGAATTCCTGCTTTTAAGATTTCAATAACTAGGGGCCGGGGAGATGGCTCAGTGGAATACGTGCTTCCCTGTCAAGCACAAGGGCCTGAGTTCAATCCCCGTTTCTGCCAAAAAAAAAAAAAAAAAAAAAAAAAAAGATTTCAACATCAATTTGCCAAGCACAAATGAAAATCTAATATATTTTAAGTCAATATCATACCTAACTACAAAATGAGTATTATCCATATTAGCTAGGTTTGATATAATTGTAAATTAAGAGTAGTCCTACCAACCTATAAAAATAGCAGTTAACATCAATTAAGTAAAGAATAAAAACAGAATTAGAAAAATACACCCTTTCATAAAACAACAAAAATACTCTAAGCAGATGAATAATGAAGAGGTACATAACAACAAACAGTGACTTTATACTTTTTTCTGGATAAATAATTTTTGTTTATTAGATTTACTTTAGAAAGAATTTCAAACGATACTACGAAAACAACTATTAGAAACTAGTAATTATTGCCAGGCATGGTGGTGCACACCTGTAATTCCAAGCACTCGGGAAGCCGAGTCAGGAGGATTATTCAGAGTTTGAGACAAGCCTGGGCTACAAAGTGAGCTCAAGGCCAGCCTGAGCTGCATAGTGAGACCCCGTCTCAAACACAAGAAAACAAACAAACTAGCAATTCTTAAACTTTTCCATTTTATCATTTGTATAACAATAGTGAATGACATTTTTGCTTTCAAGCCTATAACATATTTATGTTACTATAACTATGTGTAAGTATGTGCATTTATGTGTATTGTCCTCAATTCAAATGAAAGATATACTATTTATTCTGTGGTTTTAAGTATTCCCTGGAGTTCTGATACATGTCTCCAAGGTCACCATTCTAATATGCAAAGCTCAAAGTCAAAAACAAAATTGTTCTAATCCACAAAAAATACTTCAATAACTCAAATTCATCAACAGATACAGGAAGACAAAATGTGGTTCACCTGTATTATGGAATATCATTTGGCAATAAAAAGAAATGAAGTACTGATATATAACATGAATAACAGTGAAGACATACTAAGTTAAAGAAGTCAGACACAAAAATAAATAAATAAATAAAAAAGAAGTCAGACACAGAGCACATATATTATATAATTCCACTTACATATAAAATACTCAGAATAGGTAAATGCATAGATTAGTGACTGTGAAGGACTGGTGAGAAGAGAGCATAGGGAGTAATGGCCAATGCATATTAATTATGTTTTTTAACAAGATAATGAAATGTTCTAAAATTGGGCAATGGTGATGGTTGTATCATCTCTAAATGTATAATAAACCATTCACTTTAATTCTTTAAAATGCTTGAATGATAATACATATGAATTATATCTCAATAAAAAGGATAATCTATAATGATAAAAATGCAATGAGTTATTGAAATTTTTCAAATTTATTACAGGGAAAAAGCACAATGTCATTAATTCCCATCAGATATTCCCCCTCACTGCACACAGATTTCTCCCATCATATTTCTCACTTTCTGAAGCTGTTCTGGAAATCATCTTATTTTTAGTTGTACTGTCAATATGCCTTGGTGTCCAGAATCAATTCAAAGTATCTGCCTTTCATAGGCATCCTGACTTCTGATTCAGAAGTCCTGTAGTTCCAGATCTGTTGAATAAAGTGGATGAAGGCACACTGTAATATTTTTACAACCTTGCTCTTCTATTGGAAACCACTTGACAGCAACATTCACATATTTTTGATCATGCACCAGGTAAAGACCCTCACAAAAGAGGACCTGGAGAACTGTTTCAGAAAGTAGGAGGCACAATGGAATGTGTTCAAAGTAAGGGGGAAGAGTATTTTGAGGGAGATTAATAGCAATCTGTCTTTTATTATAAATTTTAAATTTAAACATTTATTGTTGTTTATTATCTGTTGTAAATAAAAATATCTCAGTATCCACATTTTATTACCCTAGCAACTAAAAGAAAATAAAATCTTAAGTGTAATAAAGGGTCAATGAAATCTCAAGATATTGAGGAAGAATGATGGAAAGAAAAGGAAGTGGAACAACAAGTAAATATTTGTCATCACTAGACATACTTTGGAAAGAATAACACTTTATTTGCTAACAGGAAACAATAGGAGTGAAGACATACTAGTATTTTACCAAATGCTACAGAATATGTAATGTTTTGCATTCAATGAAGAAAATACTAATTACTTCCATTTTAAAAGGTAGAAGTGTAAAGTGGACATTTCAGCCAAAATTTACCTAGTATACTGAAAGTGTTCTAGTTTTCCAAATATTATTCACTCATTGCTATAAAATTAATAAAAACACATCTAATCTTATTCTTCAGCCCTTTTGTCTTTCTTTTAAAACTTACTCCTACCCAAAACCTTACTTTTTGCTACCTAAAAACATTTCTTTTTTTTTAACATTTCTATTTTTACCATTTTTGTTAGTGCCTAAGCATTACACAGAATGGGTCATGACATTTTCATATGTTTAGGTAACATAATTTGTTCACATTATCTAAATCTTCTAGAATTAACACAATTCACTTATTTTTCTGAGGATAAATCCTCAACAATAAACTACACCAATAACTATAGTTATTCTATATCACCAATAAACTACAGTCTTCTGAAATCTTACCACATTTAATTTTATTGTGCCCAAATTTACTGAGGAAATAGCATGAGAATTTTTTTTTTCTGAACCAGGGGTTGAACTCAGGCCCTTGCACTTGCCAGGGAAGCGTTTATTCTACTGAGCCATCTCCCCCGCCTGTACAGTTAATTATTGAGTTCATGATTTTGGCTATATCACTTTATAAGCATCTACTTTTCTGAATTAACACAAATCCTTACATTTTTTCAACTTCATTTGCAAATTAACTGTTTTTGTTTCAACTTAACTTTTTGAGAAAGTCAATTTAACATTTCCAATAAGTGGGAACTAATAAATACTACCTGAATGTGTAATTTATTATGCAATTACGTTTTAATTTCTAGTAACACATTTCTGTATTCCAAAGTTTCCTTACATCAACTCTCCTACCAATGGTGAGGATGATTTTAAGCAGACTATTGAAACATAGTTTTAATAAGTTCTGCAGATTCATTTTTTTCTAGTAAAGCAAAGTTTTTCTTTATGATTTACTTATTCTTTAACTTATTTTTGATTTGTAGACTACTCTTACCTTTTTTTTCTTTTTTTGGTGGAACCGGGAATTGAACTCAGGCCCTTGCGCTTGCCAGGGAAGCGCATATACCACTGAGCCATCTCCCTGGCCCCTATTCTTACTTTTAAAACAAGAAAAAAGGACAACAAAGAAAATGCTTTACCAAAATCTTGCATAATCATGGTATGGGCCATTCTAGAGTCTGATGTGTGCATTCCAAGACTTCCACCAACTGAGTCCATACTTAGCAAAGTGCATTCACAGATATCTATAAAAAGAAATGGGTTTTAAATATAGTTTAAATACATTTAGCCCAAAGTCAGTTATTTTGAGTAAAAGGAATACAATTGAAATTATGCCCATTAACCAAGTATGCAAAACTTACTATAAAAGAAAAAACCTTGATTAGATGCTTTCTATAACAACCATCAAAAGAAGGAGTAAGTGGAAGAAAACAAAAGATAATAAAGAATAAGGCACAGAATGATGAACCATAGAGAATTGACAGAGAAAGCAGAAGAAAAAAAATACAGGTAGCACTAAAGTTCCAGTTAGAATGTAGATTGTAAAAGAAGAAAAAGAACAAGATGACAACAGGCAATAGTTGAAATATTTATACATTACTAGAGGACTCAGATGTCTAGAATTAGTGAATTTCATCCAGTGGCTCGTATCCATTTCTTCCAGACCCAGATCAGCCCTCCTGTGGACCTCTGCAGATAAACTTGTATTCACCTTTGGCTCCTGGGGTTCTACGTATAGTGTAAATGTTATATCCCAGTTTCCCTGGAGTTCTTTCAACCAGTAAGCACTTCTGGTTTCACTGTACTACATTCTCTTGTCTCACAGTTTTGAGGACTCATGAAATATGTCTGCTTCCTAAATATGATAAAGATAAAATCAATCACATACAAACATTTAGGAAGTTGTTTCTGAGCATATCATTTACTCATAATTATACAGCTGATTGTTTTCAGCAGTGATTATTAAACTCATGCTAGCCCCATGGTGGTTTTGAAAATAAATTCAACCTATTTAAATCAAATTTAATTCTCCTATATTAATCCAGCTGTAGGGAACATAAAACCAGATGCATGAATTATAATTGAATATATGTATTTTCCTATCAAATATAATATTCCAAGTAAATAACCCAAAATACCCATTTTATAAAGCAGCTACATCATTTTTTCTTAAGAGTGTTTAATAAACAGCTATACAGCACAAAACATGAGGTCATACATCCATAATGCAAGTTTTACAAAGTTGTCATGTAAAACAAAATATATGTTAAGTACTGGGGGAGTACTATGGAGAACTTTTTTTCTTGCTTTAAAAGTCTAGAGCAGTAATGGTGAACCTTCTAGAGCTTTCAATTATACAAACAGCTCACTGTGTCACATATGCTGTAGGTTTACCCCACTGGTCTAGAGGTATACAAGTAGAAGAAGAGTCTCATTGAGTAACTCCTTATCAACACTTCAGTTGTTTGCATAAATATGTTCCAACATTAAATGGCGTAACTCCACGAAGCATAGGATTTCAACAAAATTATTTTATCTCTTTGGAACAAATTTAGTTATTCATAAAAATTCTTAGCTGCGTTTTATATACTTTCAAATGCCCATTGTTTTCTGCTTTGCTATTATGTAAAAAGGAGGCCAACAAGCCAAGAGAATTTACAATAAATTGCCTGTACACTAATAAACTAAATTGCCATAAGAACATACTTTTAGCCTTTAAAAGAGTTTATTTCTTGGATTTTCACTTTATCAACTGCTTTATCACATAATAGAACAATTACAAATACCTTAAAACATTTAAGTACAAAATAAATATTAAACGTAATTTGTTAATCACCTTTATGTGAGTGGCTTGAACAAACTGTAGATTTTCTTACATATTATAAAGTGAAATCTGCAGCAATTTCTTTTTATTTTTCCTTCTGAATTATGTTATTTTCTTTGGGAAAACATTGTCTTTACCTATTGTAAAAACACACTCAAAATTAGATATTTTAAAGTATTTTATAACAAATCTCTTACACAAGTTAGGAATATTTTTCTTTTCACTTCAACTTACAAGGTGAGGTTGGAAAGAAATCATAAACTCAGATCTGTGTTTACCTAAAAATCAATCAAAAGGATGCCAGTAGAAACAATGTTACTACGTTATTTCGATGTAAACAATGTTATTACTTACAATTCAATGACTCATACTAAAAATCTTCGGCAAAGGACATTTTAAAAATCACTAGGAACACCTTATTTTGGAAAGTGAAAGAACCAAGGGCAAGGTTTATCCTTGCCAAATCCATACAGAAAAATCTTCCTACTATTCAAGTGAAGTGTAAAATTACAACACGGAGTACCACTATTAGGGAAGTTTCACGCTCTGTGAAAACCAAATAAAACTCGGAGCACCTTTTTCCCATATAGGAAGTTATAATTCGATCAATAATAAATGAAGTAGGAAACAACATGGTGTTAAGTATTCGATAAACACTAGACACTAGGCTTCTCAGTCTTTTCAAGAGTGTCATCTTACATCCTCCCTAATTGAAGGTAACCTACCAAGTAAGCTTTGATCAAGAAAAACATCTTTCCATGGATGCACGGCAAACAGAAATCACAAAAGAAAATCAAATGTGTATTTGTCTCCTCTAAACATAGCTCATTCAGGACCAACACTCTAAATGATGTCAATAGGGTGGAAGGAGAAAAAAATGGTAAGGCGGCAAAGCAAGACAATGTGAAAGTAGTATTTGCAGAGATAGGAGACAAAGGAGCCCTGGCAAGTAGCAGTATTGCAGCCTTGGATGCAGACCTCTTCCCGCATAAGTCTCCCTTTCCCGCGACCATGCCAAGTTTCAATCATTTTAAGCAGAATGTACACTCGGGCCCTCTGAGATTTTACCCATCTGACTGCATCTTAAGCCAAACAACAGAACCTTCGCAGTGGGAAAGAAGCAAACTGGGAGATAAGGATACCCTTCCCCTCCTCCCTCAAATCACTTGGTGCAGCGGTCGCAGCCGCTGCTGCCCGTGCTGTTAGACCCAGCCCCTCAGCCTCCTCTGGCTCGTTCGTCCTGTTACGTGGGAGACTGCTGGGAACTAAAATGGTGGTGTTTAGTGGAGGCGACAGTTGCTGCACACAGCCACCCCTTTCCCCACCCCCTACCTTCGCCAAGACTGCTTCTAACCCCTATTCCCGAAATGCGTGATTCTGTGCCACTTCCTCGCAAATGCTGCCATTCCTAGTACACTGCAAAGGTTACCACAAGCGCCAGGCAGGAGACGTGTTCGACGCGGTGGGGGGCGCAAGTGAAGGGGGGGGGGCTCGCTGAGAAAAATGCCAAGAGGACGCTGCAGTATTATTCACGTCAACGTTTTGTTTTCCGCCATTTTCCTGTCACCCGAAAGCACCGACGGCCTCAACGACGGCTCTAGCTACCCGGAATTCTGCCCTATGGGAAGAAATTGGCTGAGGGGCGAAGCCTCACTCTGCTCAATTTCACTACCCCGTGCCTGCGGCTCTGCAAACAGTAAAAGCTGTTCGCCCTAGGGTGAGGGAAAGCTTAGTGACTAGACGTCACTTCCATTGTTCTTTTCACCCTACACTGTACGCTGGATGGGAGCTTCTCCCCTCACGCTAGAGATACAGAGCACGGGAAACAAAGTCCCCCTAGGCTCTCTTGGTTCACCTTACCTGCCCCTCCGCCTCCGCCGCCGCCTCTCCCTCCGCCGCTCCTGCCTCCGCCAGCACCGCCAGTCGGACTGAAACCGCGTTCCAGATTGCTGCGGGGGGCAGCTGTGGATCCGCGAGGTCCTCACATTCGGGTTTCCGAGGTTCCACAGCCAGAGCCAATCACAAACTAATCTGCGTCTCGGAGGCGCGCCCCCTCGTCCTCCTTTATACTGCTGCTGACTGCTGAGGTTGCATTACGTCACGCTACTCTTGCTGCAGGGTAGGGGGCCTGAGGGGGAGCACGCGCAGGCGCGCGAGACCTCCAGAGAGCCGCGCGGGGTTTGCGCTCCAGACCCGCTTACTCGCAGCCTGCGCTGCAGCGCGGGTCGCGTCGAAATGCGCAGGCTCAGATCTTGGCGCGCCACTGAGGAGTTTCCGTGGGAAGATTTTTCTGTTTTCCAGGTTTCCCAAGACGAAAAGTGGGAGAGGGGGATCAGTAAGGAAATGGCCACTTACTGAACCTCTAATAGATGTTACATGGCGTTCCTATATCGTCCCTAGCCTTGAGAATTTGACACATTAGGCTTGGACAGATAAGAGGGATAACTCTATCAATCAAACCTTTGTTTTGTACTAACTCACCCGCTTTCCCTTCATTTTTATATTTCCTAGTGTTAGACAATTTGTTACTTCTTCAGTGTGTCGCTTTCAGCTTCTGTCTGCCTAACGTAGGAGAACAATGAGAATTTTAGTGCATGAGTGATGAAGAAAAGAGTAAGGAGATGTGGCACAAAGGTATATAGGACTAGATTACATTTGCAGTGTCTTTGTGAATTTAGTATTGATTTATAATAATTTGAAATAAGCAGAAGTATTAAAGAAGGAAAGCATAGGCTACTTTGGGGAAAAGGTCACTCATTAACTTTCTGTAAATAATTTGAATATAAGGAAAATATGTTACTGTCCTAGATTATTTAGTTTTTCCAGATGTCTGTAATTTACTATGTGATTAGCAACATTGAGAAAAAAATTACAGAAGGCAAGACGTGAAATCCCTAGCACAGTATCTGTGTGGAAGCAGCAGCTCAGGAAGTGAAAACTTTATCTGTAAAGGGCAAGTAATATTTTAGCTTTGCACCTTATAATCCCAGCATTTGGAAGGCTGAGGTAGGAGGCTCCTTGTGAATTCGAGAACAGCCTGGGCTACCAAGTGAACTCAATGCCAGCCTGAACTGTGTAGTGACATGTTGTTTCGAAAAGAAGTAATAATAGTCTAATAAATAAATATTTTAGTTTTCTAAATATGTGGTAATATTTTTCTTTATTTACAGGGACTCTAACCTAGAGCCTTATTCATGGGACTCTAACCTAGAGCCTTATGCATGATAGGCAAGCATTCTGCCAATGAGCTACACCCCAGCCCAATAAAGTATTATTGAGAGACATAAGGTCTCTATCACAACATCTGGATTCTGGTGTTGTAGTACCAAATCAACCACAGACAATATATACACAAATGAGCATGACTAGGTTTAAGAGAACTTTATTTATAGACAGTGACATTTGCATTTTATTCATTTTCATATGTAATGAAAGAATATTTATTGAATTTTTTCAAGTATTTAAAAATATGAAAACCATTATTACTTTCAGACAATAGTGCAGATTTGCCCTGTCAGTCAGCTGTGGCTTCATAGATGTCATTTATTTATACTATTTCCTTCTCATATGAAGAAATATATTTTCAGGGGTGCCTTCCCATGTATCATACTTGTCTCTATTGTATACTCTGACAACTTAATGAACTTTTTCTAGTGACTTCCAACAGAATACTACACAGCAGAAAAAATGTGTGGTGTTTTTGTATCAGTTACTTTTGTGAATATTAGAGATAATGTTTAAAACTGGCCAAACTGTTCTGAAAATTCTGTCTCCTTTATATTTGTGAAATTGATCCCTTTTTCAGTTCCCAATATTATTACTTTGCTCAGATTTACATCCTTTCTTGCCTGCATTACTGTGACACTCTGATAAGTAGTTCACTCAACAAATCTTGAAATTAAAAAATCCACAGATCAGGAAAAGGTATCAAATTGAGCCTCCCTACACCATTCTGACTTCAGTTGAGGCTCTCACCAAATGAAATTGTTCTAATACCTTTCAGACTTATTTCTCTACTATAAGTTTATTATACTTGATACCTTTTACAGTATAGTCTACATCCCCACAGAGTTCATTCACATGACCAACCAAGCCAACCTGATTATTTCATTCTTTCTGCTAAAACATTGCCATCAACTTCTTACTGGAAGTAAAAAATGACTCACAGGCAAGGACAGAGGTGTAGGACTCTTAACTGGTAAACAATGGGGAAGATCATACATTAGGTCAATGTTTTTAAGAAGGAAGCTGACTACAGTGAACTGTTAAACATAACAGTTTATGCCATTTTTAAAACTGTTGAATCCGAGTGGAGCGAGTAAGCTGAGCAGTTCGCTGTTTGCGTCTCGGAAACCAGTAGCGCTTGCAGCATGACTGACCAACTGACTGAAGAGCAGATTACAGAATTCAAAGAATCTTTTTTACTATTTGATGAGGATGGTGATGGAACTACAACAACAAAGGAGTTGGGAACTGTAATGAGTTCTCTGGGGCAGAATCCCACAGAGGCAGAGTTGCATGACATGATCAATGAAGTAGATGTGAATAGTAATGGTACAACTGACTTCTCTAAATTTCTGACAATGATGGCAAGAAAAATGAAAGACAGAGAGTGAGAAAAAAATTAGAGAAGCATTCTGTGTATTTGGTAAGGATGACAATGGTTATATTAGTGCAGCAGAGCTTTGCCATGAAGAGGTTGATGAAATGATCAGGTAAGCAGATATTGATGGTAATAGCCAAGTAAACTATGAAGAATTTGTACAAATGATGACAGCAAAGTGAAGACATTGTACAGAATGTGGCTACTTCCTTATACAAATTTGTTTATTTGCCTTTTCTTTTTCTGTAACTTATCTGTAAAAGTTTTACCCCTACTGCCAAAAAAAATGCGTGTATAATTAGGACTTCATTCCTCCATATTTTCTTCCTTTATCTTATTGTCATTGTCCTGAAACCTTATTTTAGAAAGTTGATCAAGTGACATGTTGCGTGTGGCTTATTCTGGATAATCCTTTCTGCACATATAAACTTAGATGGAGTTGGTCAAATGAGGGGACATCTGAGTTATGCCTTTTTGAAGTAGTTTTCCTAGGAATTGTCAGCATGTTGTTGATGAAGTGTGGAGCTGTAACTCTGCGTGGGTATGGAGTCAACAATATGTACTTAAAAGTCTCACTATTGCAAAATGGGTGTATTATCCAGGTATTCGTACACTATCTTTTTGTACTGCTGGTCTTGTACCAGAAACATTTTCTTTTATTGTTACTTGTTTTTTAAACTTTGTTTAGCCACTTTAAAAAAATCTGCTTATGGCACAATTTGCCTTAAATCCATTCCAAGTTGTATATTTGTTTTCCAATAAAAAGTTACAATTTACTTCAAAAATTAAAAAAAATTAAAAACTCTGTTGTTTTGTATATCCATGCTTTTTTGTTTTAATTTTCCTACAAGTTTTAAGACTAACAATATTAATTAGGTGCTATAAACTATAATTTATATCTTGCTTTATTTTGTAGCTAGTTCTCTGCCCAAGCTTACACTTGTAATTTTATCAAATTAATAGTGGTTTATAATAGTCTAATGTGGTGTACTTACAAATCAAATTTTCTTATTTTTCTTCCTCATATGATTCTGGAGTCATAGTTTAATATCAGCTTTATTCATTTAATATAAGCCTCATCTATGAAAACTTCCCCAATTTTGCTTTCACTGTACTGTAGACAACTACCAGGGAAATAATCTAACATACATAACATAATCGTATTCTAGGTCATCTAGAAGACCATCTTATAATTGAATACTGCTATAGGATACTGTCAACACTCACATTCATATATATATTTATATTTATGTTTACAAGCATGCTGAAACAAGATAGTTCTATGTTGATTTGGGGTTGATTTGGAATAAAGAAGTTAGAATTTTATAAATTTTATAAATTTAAAACATGAGGATGATGTTTGCTCCTTTTTCATCAACTATCTGGTCAATCGAAATATTCTGAGAATCCCACCTCTGTATGTAAAAAAAATTCTGGGTAGTTAGAGTAGCAAGTGAAGTGAATAGCCTATAGCATAGAATGAAGCAAGAATCATATTTGTGTGTTGAGAAGCAATTTAGTTTCAGCAAGGCAACCTGGTACATAACATTAAATTTATGCTTTTAATTTATTAGTCTTGTTATTTATTGTTTGATTATATAATTATATAACCATTATTAGTCTCAAACATGTTTCTACATTTCTCCACTCTTGTTCATTTTAAGTAATATCATAGAAAATTGATTTAAATTAATATTGAAGGAAACAATTTCCCTTTTATAAAAGTCTGTAATAAAAAATCAAAACAATTTACTAACAGACTATAAATATTATTCCACACAAAAAAAATACTAGGACTACTTCAGGGGAATAGCCAATTAAGGGGTTAGACAGGAAATAAATAAGATGTGATCATGTCCTTTTCATATGTCATAGAACAAAGAATCCACCACAGACTAATGTGGTCATGCCAAAAGTACATAGGATTGTCAAAAATAATAGTAATTATGAAAAGATGTACAATTTATAAGGATTCATGAATTAATTAAGGATACTAAGAGATTCTTGTACTCCCAGTATTTCATACATAGAAAATCGACTCCATACTAACAGCAATAAAAAATAATAATTCATCATTTCTTTCTACTTTTCCTGTATGAACTATGTCAGGATAACCAAATAGCCCTAGTTTCATGAGAGGGCATTCACTTCTTTTGCACAATAACTATAGCAAATCATAATTTTACCTCTACTGAAATAACATCTAAGTGGAGATTATCAGTGAGTGAAGATGAGATGGAAGACTAATATGAAACTTTATGCTTAGCCTGATGTCACCTGACTCTAAACTTTCTTATCACTATCTTCATAATTATTCAGTACTTTTTGTTTTAGCTGACCTAATAGGTGCATAGTGGTAAAGCACTGAGATCGTAATTTAGTTCCTGGTAGCTAGTGGCATTGAATACATTTTCTTATGCTTATTTGTCACAACATATTTGGTAAAGTATCTCTTCCAATTCTTTCCCCACCTTTTATTTCTTACTGTTGAATTTGGAAAAAAATTTTAAAAAACGTATTTCTG